GTTTCGTGACTGCTTTTGGCTCGGGGAGGATGTTGCTGCTGAACAGGGACGGTTCAACATGGAGGTAACGAATACTTCTAGAGCAAAATGTTTAAATCTATTAATATTTCTACACATTAGCAAAGTTTGTAGGATAAGGAGTTTTGCTTAGAAAGATGAAAATTCTAAATGCCTAGCAATAGAGGCTAAATGCGGTTTCACTTACTTTAGTTGAGATAAATTTTTTTGGCATTTCTACTAGATAGGTCATACCATTCCATATGGGTGATCATGGACGATGACCATCGGTAGCCCAATTTCTACGAAAAGGAACTAAACTGTTCTATAATTTCCTTTCGCATACTTTAGCGCTACTAAACTATTACTTTATGCTTTTTGTAAACATTCTAAACAGCTGCTCTATTTTTAGGGAAATCACTACCATAGTATGAGACTATTTCAAGATAAGGTACCTACAACCTTTACTGGGCATCTATTTTTGCGCAATAAATGATTTTCACTCTTCAAAACAGCCAAATTTTACAACAGCGATCACTAATTTCTAAGAAAAAATTGGTAGCTAGATTGAACATTTTGAAGATTGGCCATAGTGCTTATCAATCTAATTTTAGCAATTTGATAACACTGTTGATGTAGGACCGATCCGTACAGCATCTTAAAGAGAATTGATATTATTTCTAGCGGTGCAGGCATTTGACATCTCCATTCTTCATGATCAGGTGCCTAACAAGGCCGCGATACTGAGCATTGGTCAATCCGAATAGAATGTACATTGCTACAAGCGCCTTGAAACTCGGTTTCAAATTTGTCTTTAATTTAATCAAATCCGTGAAGGATTCTATGGAAGCTTCCTTCTGCAAAAACTGTGTACGTAATGTGCAGCTAAATTTGGTAACCACTTAGGACATTAGTGCAAAATGTTCTTGCATCGTTACGGTAATTTTTACAAACAGTCGAGCAGAATATTACGGATTGCGCACACAATTCTTTTCACAAACACAGAGTGCGAAGGAAGCATCTTTTAAATCAGCGTTCTGACCCAAGGAAAATGGTCCTTTAGGTGCTAGTATTTGCTTAAAATCTGCATCAACTTCTAAGTGCCGTATAGGTTGCTTGCTTTGGACTCATTTTTGTGAGTAAAACTATGTCCACTTTGAATTTATCCGCATTCTTTCAGGTACTCTAAAAGAGGATGGACTGGTGCCTTCTTACCGGTGACTTCCTGCAAATATGATGATGTCGTTGGGGTAAGGGCTACCGTACCTTCTTATCAATGGTCGTTATGTTTAGCAAGGCATCAACCTTGAATAAACACGACCAATCTTTATGAGCAGATAAGAGCATTTATGACGCTTCGTGTTGCACAAGCAACATAAAACGTCAATTTGGAGTTTTTATGAGTGGTGATTAGCTATTAATCGAGTGTTGCAAGTGTAAAAGACCAAAGGAACTGCTGCAAACATCAAAAGTAGAAGAGTGAGCATCTCAAAGTGATCGAATATACACTTTCCATTTCTTTGTTTGGAATAAATGCAACTCTCTTATGCGAAAAATAAAACACCAAGATTTTTCTACTTGAGAGAGCTTTTTCAGCAGGATACACCCTCGCCATACTCCCTTATCTCCAAAGCTCGAGTAGTCCAATTAGGAATAGTGGACGGATTAGCTAACAAGTGAGATATTTTCTTCCAATTTGGGACTTTCTCTCTCACATTATTGTTTCCAGGCCTGCATTTCTGCCACTCTCAATACCAAGATCTCTCTCTGAGCAACTTCTTAAATTGCATTCAAACCCTCCTGCCTTCTTTATAAGCCAGGTAAGAGGGACTAAACAACTAACGCATGACATACACAAAGGGTGCTCGTTTTAGTTTATTTGGTATCTTATGCGAAATGGAGAAGAATTTCAGAAAGCATTGGATGAACAAGTTTCAGCCATACGATTTGAAAAAGGTGAATCAATTTTTTTTCCCAATAAGATGAAACGAAAGGTCTTTTTGTTGCTGCTTCACAATAGGGCGTAGTAACGTTTGGGCACGCCGCATTTGGAGAACTACTGTACCTCGCTCAAATATGAATAAATTTTCCCAAAATTCAGCTTAATGGCTTTTTGGCAAGAGATCATTATATGTCACAGGTTTAGTTCGATCACAGAGTTTGAAAAAATCAAAGAATGCTTGTTGAAAAAGTAGACGTACTAATAATCACTGTTGTTTCAACCCTCTATAACTTGGTCTCCGCAATTTTTTGTAAGAGTACTACTATAAACTGTAAAACATAACTTATGGTATAAACTCATTTAACACTACAAAGAAGTACTTCCTATTTTTTCCGCTCAGAACTAAGAATATTATCGCAATGCTTCGAAATTCGCTCACTTCCAAGACTTTGCGCAGTTGCATCAGTTGTTAATGTAATACGCAGAACGGACTCTAAAATCTTGGGCACTAAAGCTTGGGTAGATGCCACATAATCCAAGCCATATCCAGCTCGAGCGCAAGCTTTCTGCAGACTAGAACCACTTTGCGGCTCCACAGCTTGGCTTAAATGGCTCTATTTGTCTACAAAGGCATGAAATGGATACAACATTGTCCATAAAAGGCGAACCATCCCATGCTTCCACGTATTTACTCATCTGAACAACTCGCTTTGTCAAAGCTCGAGCAACAGAAGAGTATGACGAGGTGTGGAGTTTATCTTTACGCCTAGGATGTAGTCTTGTCTATATCTATCAGGTGGTAATTTAGTCGCAACTCCGAGTCAAGCTGATCACGATTACTTGCATTTGACTCGCACTTTCGTTTGAAACGAGGACTTAGTTGCTAGTAAATTGTTATAGGAAGATTTGTTGGCTCTAAATTAATCTGGCAGCAGATTTGAACTGAGGTCCATCTCTAATGCCTTTGCGATACAATTAAACTATCAAGCATAGTGCTTTGTCTTCTAAAGTTTCATTTTAAAAAATTCCATATGATGATATTTTATAGCTTGTTGCTCTTTGTGATAACTTGATTAAAAATGTTGTGCATACAACGACTGTTATTCACTATTTACCGCTCTGGTCAAAATTTTAGATAACTCGCATGTCCATGATAATGCAGCTATGAAATAAAAACGCGATTAATTCCGAGTTACAATGATAACATGAGATAGTGTTGTTAGGATAGGTTACAGATAAGATGCTCATCTCATAACATATTCAAGAATGCTTTTTTGATGAGAACTGCTCACATTGTCTCTGTTTCCTACAACATTCTATCTTTCACTGAAAATCGTTGAGTCGTATTTCTTAATTCTAACACTTAGAAGCTTCGCGGTTAACTCAGTTCCAATTTCAAGTTCTACCACTATTATTGTCAGCCAAACCTAATCACTCCCATTATTTTCATATTTTTACCACCGCTGTCACTGTAAAAGTTGTACTTGCGCTACTAAGCGCTCTAAACGGAAATTAGAAAAACTTACAAGAGTAGAGATAATATCTATGCTGCCACACTCATTCTGCTGTTCAAGCTTCTTTAGGCAGTTAAGCTTAGTACAGTTAACATTCGAAGGCACAGTTTTGTTTTAGAGCACTAGCTTATTCAGGCAAGCCTTAGTGCCGTACAATTGTTTTAGCCTGCGGCTAGCTTGTGCTTCTTGATTATACGACTAGTATACCTATGGTTCTTGTCGTTTTGGGATCAGCCAAATTCTGTGCACATCTTTACGGAGAAATCCGACATTTGCAACAATGCGGTATCACTATCATTATTTGCGTCAAAAAAGTTTCTCTTCGAACATTGACAGATCGCAAACACCGAATATGTTTAAGAGTAGCAGTAGTCTTCGTATATAACACGGGGGAATCCAAGGAAAGGACTGATGAGATAGAAAGCGCGTTTTGGTTTCGCTCACCTTTTCAACAAGCATATCTCGATTTCTCCTGTTCGGCTCTAAATGAGGTAAACCAAAATCTCTTTTGAGATGTGTTCATATATTCGGTGTTTGCGATCTGTCAATGTTCGAAGAGAAACTAACGCAAAAAATGATGGTGATACCGCAATATTGCAAATGTCGGATTTCTCCGTAAAGATGTGCACAGAATTTGGCTGATCCTAAAACAACAAGAACCATAGGTGTACTAGTCGTATGCTGGTTACATTATAGTTGAATTATAGGAAGATTTACTAATAGTCGAGGTATTTTGAAATAAAGAATCAAGGCACTGCGTATGTTTGATTCTCTGGTAAGATTATCCATCATGAAGTGATATTTTCACGGTCTTAACTGCGGAACATATAGCTTAGCCTAACAAGGCGTTCTAAGATTTTCCACTAGTATTACACAATTTCGTAAATTAGGTGTTTCTTGCTGTAAGCAAAAAAAAAATAACTGAATTTGCCAACATCTTCCCATTTGTGGACAATCTTTCCGCTGAAAAATAGCTGAAGGTGCTCGAAGAGAGGATAGATTGGCGACAAGCCGATAAAATGAATGATGGATGAAATGAAAGTTTTCATCTCAAATAGCAACTTTTTGATTAGGACTTGCATCACATTTCTACCTTCTATTCACAATCCTGCTATTCTCCTTCGAAAATTTCGTCTATCTGCTCTTTTCGTGTCCTGCATTGTTGGATTTCATATTTTATCGCTTTTTAAGAAAGTGTAGTTTAATGTCCCATCGGACTTCTATATATTGTCATTTCACCCCAATCACTAGCATGCTGGACGTGAGCTGAGGATCTATTATAAGTACCAAGGTTCTAACTTGAGAATTTTGTTTTTATTCCGCAGAAGAGCAAATACAAGATGTCGTGACAGTCCATCAATTCAGTTTTTGGCTCAGTCAGACAATGGAAAATAACTTTCTTTTGCCTGAACAGAGTGATGTGTTCTATAGAACGTGGTCGTCCGGTACTGTTAACGGACGCATGACCTCCTACTTGCTGTCTCGTGCAAAAGTGCATTCTTACAGCGCATCTTATTCTTTTATAACGATTTAACGCCTTACCAGCTTTCCGTCATTACCTTGAATTGTGCAGGTGGTAACGGAATCCCTGTCAAATGCTGAGTCTCATAAGTTATACGCCTTTGCTTTGCGAGACTGCTTTTTGTTTGTACTAATTCCATATAAGGTTGTATGTTATGGTGGGAGAAAACGAGAGTTAAATGAGAATTTTTTTAGTCTTCTTATAATTTCTTTATTCATAAGCAAAAAAGTAAGCCTTAATTGGTTGCAGGCCCTGTCGTCGGACTGCAAATTCGGCGCACAGACAAAGTGGG